ACTATTTTTGACAATTCTGATTTTTTTGGTGATAATTTCAACATACCTGGGTATCTATCAATTCATCATTGCCATGCCGAGCTCTATAATGCCTCAGCATTGATGAAGTGCTCTGTCGTTCGTCCCATAACTACGGTAATGATTCTCACCTGATTGTTCATGCCTCGACTTAAAAGCCAAAATAGGAATATGAACAAAGTTTGTTTTAATTGTATGTGTCCAGCAAAATACACCAATATGAACGTAAGCTAACAAACGTCTGCTGTCAGTTACTAATTGCTATATGTTATCTCTATTAGCCAAAGTTAACAGGAAACGTTATAGGAGTGATAAGTTCATGTCAAGAGTGCTTTTTGTGTCTGAAATGAAGTACCCCCAAAGCCCTATAATATTGTGCAATGTCCTGTTTCAAACAAGCAATCAGGAGAAGTGAGGCTTCTTTTTCCTCAGGGACCTGAAACATTGAGACCTAACTGTTTCTGAGCAGTGTTGGATTGAAACACTGGGCAGGATTGGTTCAAGTAAAAATAATTCTGCGTTCATGTCAAGTATTTTTTAGTTTTTCTTATAATTTATTCATAACTTGTTTTGCACTTCTATTTTAAAAGTCAATACAGTGTAGTTAATCATATTCTATTATATTACAACTCGAATTCGACGTCACAAATTATAGTTTACAAACTACATTAAATTTACAAATGTTTCCATTAGTGTGTTAAAATCTTGTAACCCTCCCATTGTCCTAATGGGTGACCCCGTGAGGAAAGTTGGACCATTGAGCAGGGTTGATGGTTTATCCCTTGGGGGCCCAATGGTCAACTTTCCTCACGGGGTCACCCATTAGGACAGTGGGAGGGTTATGTTGTTTTAGTGTAACCAAAATTTTGTGTAATAACATATTGTGCTAAGACAGTCAAATATGGTGGTAATACTGATGTACCGGTGTACGTGTGACAGGTACAGCCTTGTGCTGTCATGTGGCAGTTCTACTCTTCCAGACGGTGCATAACTCCCACCTGAGACATACATTGGTTCCCCCAATGTTAAGCTGCACAGAAACTTAACACTGGCACAAACCGAGGACCAAGGTTGCATGCTATTGATTATAATTTTAATTTGTGTATGGATAATTCTGGAATTACTTTATTTCATGTTTTTATTTGGATACAGGGTATTAAACCTGGTCCAGTTATTGACATTGTCATCATTTCAGCAAGACCAAGAGAAAGGACACTGGTAGAAGAAAATAGGTATGTGTTTCTGTCCGTAAAACACACACTCACATTTATCATTTGTATTTTTTCTCCTTACACAGAAGTAGTTTGTATTAAAGACTCAGATGCCCTCAGCCAGACATCTCTATTCCTAAGGTGCAGGAGACGTATCACGGACTTGGTGAAGATGAGGCTCCCATCATCACAGCCATGGCTGTCTCTGGTGATATGCCTCTGGTTGAATTCATGTTTGGTTCTGTGCATGAGGGAAGCGTGCTGTCTTACCAGCTACCAGTGAAGACGGTCTACATACAGATATCTCTTCCCCCCCCAGAATTGACACTCACATTACAGACTAGAACACTGTATGAACATTGGTGTTTACTGAACATCAGCACCATCTTCGGAGAAAATGAACATTGGCACAAACCAAGGACCAAGGTTGCAACTTTTAATTATACTTTTATTATGTGTAGGGACATTTCTGTAATGACCTTTAAATTTTTTTTTATTTGGAAGTCATACAAAATGTAAAACAGCACATGATAGCAGAGTTCATGTGTTGAGTTGCACCGATTAAGGAGGTGCCGTATCACTTCTACTAAATTTAGAGAAGTGTCACAACATGGCATAAAGTTCTGATGAGAAACTTGCAATAAGGGTTTTGGGAACAAGCCATTAGACTGTTGACAAGTGTCAGGGTCTTGCCTTGGAGCCTACAGCCATAGTGGAGTACTGCAAGCTAAGAGAAGTCAGCTGCTGCTACCCAAGTGGTTTCATGATCCACCCTGATGCACCTTGGATGTGTTCAACACTAGATGAGATTGTGTGTGATCCAGAGGGGCAGACGAGTTTGGCTTTTGGAAAATAAGTGCCCAAATGCGTGTATTTTTCTGGACTGTACACATTATGCGCAAAAATTACACACACACACACTCACACTCGCACACACACACACACACACACACACACACACACACACACACACACACACACACACACACACACACACACACACACACACACACACACACACACACACACACACACACACACACACACAGAGGTGATCTCACACAAAGTCATACAATTAAGAAGAAAGCAGGTAATAGCTTTTGTTAGTTCTTACTCAGTGCCTTCTTGGCCAGTAATTGCTTGTATTGCAGTGTAAATGTTAAGAGTTACTGTGGAGGAAATTATATATTTCTGCTTTGTTGTTTGTGATGTATTGTTAGATGACTAATAAATAACTCTGCAAAGCATTTTGGTGTTTTTAAATGGCTTGTTTCGATATACAAGATACATGAATAACAATACTAAACTAAAGTGGATAACTTTTTTTAACACCAAAATACATTTCAACTCAAATTAAAATGATTTCAAATTCGTTGTTTAAATTACAATAATTCTTCAAAATTATATTTTTGGTTGAATCCCTCCAAAAAAATATAACTTTATATGGTTAAAACCATCTAGCTTATGTGCACTTTTTAAAATACTGCCCAGCAAACATTCGGACGTTTAATGACAGTTGAACGGTCACAACTGTCAAATAATATCACAGGAATTAGGAAAAAATAACTTAACATCCTCACTATTTTGCTTGCCCGGACTCGAACCTGGAACCTCCGGGGGCAGAGTCACCCGCTCTACCAGCTGAGCTATGACAACAGCTACTGATTATCAGATTTTTTATATGGATATACCTCTCATCATTTTGGTCCGACAGGAAGCCAATGGGCCAATGAGGTAGAGGGTAAAGTGCGGGAAACACTAACCAATCAGAGGACAGAGAAGATCTGCCACAGGCCACGCCTCCAGAGTGCCAAAACCCCTTCACTGCCGAGCGCGCAGAGAGGCTGCCGAGCGCGCAGAGAGGCTGGCGAGCGCGCAGAGAGGCTGCCGCGCGCACACGTTTTCCTCTGCCGTGTGCTCGTTGACAACGCGCGCACGCAGGTTTGTCACTTGTGCGCTCACAGACACAGTTTGCTCCCTCTCAGTGCACAAATGACCTCTCGCCATGTATATTTCCGCTCGCGAGTCCCGTTCACACGCGCGCTGCCATGTATATTTTCGCTCGCGAGTCCCGTTCACACGCGCGCTGTGGACCCAATGCGCGTGCACGGGTTGTGGCACGCATTAAACGCCATAGAATGCTGCTGTTGTGTCGTTGGGCAAGACACTTAACCCACATTGCCTGCTGGTGTTGGTTGGAGGGGCCGATGGCGCTCCAGGGCAGCTGTGGCTACACTCTAGCTCATCATCACCAAGATGTGAAAGACTGTATTGTAAAGTGCCTTGGGGGGTTCTAGGACTCTAGAAGATATACAAAATACAGGCTGTTTACTATTTTTGCCATTCTGTTTGAAAACCATGTGAAAATCTAAAATTCCAACATTCTCGACTCCACATTCTGATGTTTGTAGACTCTTCTGTTTTACTATTAAACTGGAAATAGTGATCCTGGGAACTTTTCTAGTGTGTTTGCTCAACAGACCATTTGAACCATTTGGTTAGCAACAAAACGTCAGTCAGTAGCACAAATAAGAAGTACTCGCTGCAGCTATATGAACAAAAAGAAAAAAAATCATTGATCTTTTGTAAGTTATCAGCTGTCATTTTAGCGGATAGTCAGCAACTGGAAATTATTACAGAGAAATAGATTCAAATGTTGCCAGTTAATCATGACTGCCTTGTTAAAGATGGTTGCTCTATTTATTTCAGCAGAGCTAAAGGAAGTGTTTGTCTGAAAAGGGTGGTGTTTGTGCAGCTCTCCTTTGTCCTAGCATTGAGCTCTGGGAGCTCCAGAGTGGAACATCCTTCCTTTTGATGTCTGTTTGTTCAGTTTCTCTGAGTCATCGACTTACATCGCTGCCCCATCAGCAAATAAAATCCCTCCCTCCACCATAGACTTACACAAGATAAGAGCTTTTAATTGTGTTGCTCCATTTTCTTTGAATAACCTTCAGAACTGGTTTCACCAAGTGATGACTATCTGGGCAAATTTATCTGTTTTAGTTACTGAATCTTGCAAACCTTTATTTTTCATGATTTAAAAAAATGTATTGTTTTAATTGTCTGACATTGTGCTGTCTCTGTAACTTTATATTCTTTGTTTTGTCCTTGTGATGCCTCCTGGAACAGGCCACTCTTGGAAATGAGTTTTTTCACCTGGCTTAATAAAATATTTAATAAAAAGATTGTTGCAGCAACAATCCCTGATAGTTAAAAAATAAACTCTTTTGTTTTTCATCTCATGAACAAGTCCACAGTTACATTTATTTTCTGCAGGCCAAGAAAACACCCTGGTGTCCCTAGGTTCCTTCTAGTTCCACCCTCTCATCCTAATGCAAACAGTGTTCCTTCTTTAATCCACAGTCATCTCCTTTGACTTATTTGTGTTTAAGATTAGATCAGATCAGATCAGTTTTCTGTGGATCATGGATCTTTTACCCAGGATTACTGAGATTTAGCACCACGTGCGAAATTACACACAAATTTCAACAACCATGTTAGAATGTGCCTCAAACCCCATTCTCTGAACAAATCCATGTACATGATATATGAAGAAAATAAAAATAGAACTGTCAGAATACTGCAGTTTATATTATGTTCTGATATTTTTATGTAATATCTTAACTCGTTTTGCATTTTATGGTAATGAAATTTAGACCGAACTCCGAATATTCGAGTAGAAACTTTTTACGGCGGTTATTCCTACATTACCTGAACGCATCAGCCGGTGCAGGTGGTTTAAGGCGTGGCCTCATCCAGTAGACGGAGACTTGTTTGCGCATGCGTGAGCCAGAAAAGTGCGTTTTAGAATGATTACTGACGGCCAGTGGAGAGGCAGATTATACGGCTCTACACAACTGTTGTTTTAATCCCCTGAAAGAAGAGATTTAGCAAGAAAAAACACTGCCTTTAAACCCAGCAGCCATATTGCATGGAAAAACGACTGAAAGATTCCAGTTTTCATCAAAAAGTAGAAACCTTTTCCAAGACTTTTGGGGAGTTTAATTTTCCTCCTTGCCAGCGGTGGGTTCTGCGCAGTAGCTAGCTTGCCAGCTGGCTGAAGAGTCCGGAGAGTTTCAGCAAATTTCCAGCCATTTTGTGCGGTTTTGAGGGGATATTGTTGGCGCCCGTGTGTTAAATAACTCTAATAATGAAGGACCGATTGGAGCAACTGAAAGCGGTGAGTCAAAGTCCAGGAAATGTAGTTTCTCAACTTTGTCTTCAACGTCTCACCAAGTGTGTCCATTAGCTTCAAAATTAAGCGTTTCTTCAGCAAAACATTCATTTTTATCAAGGCTGTTCGAGCTAAAACTTAATTTCCACTGTTTATTCAGTCCAATTAATCACAGAATTATGAATATTTGTGCAAGTATTAGGCAAAGTGATGACTCATGTTTGGTAAAGAAGAAAAAAATAATTTAAGGTTTGAAAGTCTACTGTTTAGTACAGTCTCACTATATATTTTACTGGTTTAATGCTACTAGTAGTTCATTTTTCAGTTACCACCTGGGATTTCACATTAAAAAATGACATCAGCTGAACATTTCAGCTTTAATTATTATTTATACCAAGGCTAGTAATTTTAATCAATTAGTTAATCACAATAAAATCCATTTAGTTGTAAGAGTCCACATTTAATTTGTCCTTTCATTCTTATTAGAAACGAAAACCAGCATAAAGTTGGCACAATTGATCATCAGGTGTTTTAATAAGAGTCATTTGTATGTCACTTAGAAAGTTATAAAACAGTTGCTCTAGATTTTTGATGGATAGATGTTTCCAAAGTGAAAATTATTTTGTAATTGTGAAAAAAGATCACATTTGAAGAAAACGATGAAAAGGGCCTAAAAAATAGCAGCTCTTGGCTTGATGGAGCTGAGGGCTACATGTTTGTCTCAAGAAGAGATGTGACAACCTAACATGTTTGGCTATATATTTTTAGTGTTTAAACTAGCCAACTCTTAACTTAATGGTTTGATTTAGTTAACTGGTATTGTACTGTAGATTATTCATGTTGCTGTCAGCATTTTCTCCTTGACTTTCCTTCTTAGTGTTTAACTTTGTGTCCATAATCCTGACTGTATATGTGTGACTCTGTCCTAATGCTGATGCCAGTGTTTGTCCAAGCCAGCTAGAGCAGATCACCCGACCTGTAAACCTGCAGAGTTACGGGACGACACCAAAACCCTGTTGTATTATAGATTTTATGGCCTTCCTCTGTTCTCTTCATTAGACTACACACGCTTGTCCTATTTTACATATAAACCAAGTCAAAGCTGGACATTTTTAATTACATAAACTTGGAAACATTTTACTCTGATTGAGTCATTGTATTGTCTGGTATAGCTGTATAATTTTCAGTTCTAACGCTGTGGTTCAACCCCAGATCAGGGCAAACGGGGCGATTGTGATGGCTCTGTGACATATGGAGTCTTTAAATTCCAATGTCAGATTTCAGCTTTGCATCAAGACAAATCCCTATTAAGTCTATTGGCTTCTGCTGTCCATCGTTCATGTCCTGCTGGTGATGTTCTTCAAAACGGGAACAGCTGTGACAGTGACTTCTATTTTAGAGGAAATCACTTATCCTGAAATCGCTAAAAGGAAAAATACCAATACTTAAAGGGACTTTACAGACTTTTGAATTTTTATGCTCACGATTGCCCCCTCAGGCCAAAAGCGTAACGGCAGCTTCAGGCTCGTGCACGAGGCGCGCATGCTGTACGTGCACACTCCTTAGCGCAGCTAATTAATTAAATAATTTGGTTCTGTACCTTTCTCTTCAGCACAGCCGACAAAGGTTTAAGATGGGTCAGTCCTCCTGCATGCTCAGATCATTCCCTTCCCTTGCTTGAAAAATTGTTCCAAAATGAAAGTTGAACGCACATCTTTTTTATCTGTGAATTCAATGCCGTTCGGCGAGTCTCAAATAAAAATTTGGGCATCTTACTGTAAAAAATATACCATTAATGTAAAAAAGAAACTCTAAATAAACTATGTTCACATGCAGAATCAAACCCAGGTCTTCTGCATGAGAGTCAGACACCTTACAAGGTGAGCTACACACCAGTAACATTCATAGCATCTGTGACTTTTATATCCTTGATAACACCTGAAACAACGTCAAACCAAAGAACGGTTCAGAGCGAAAATGACTATTTTGTTGTTATTTTGCTGGAAACATCTAGAAGAAAGTTCTACAGAAAGTAGCTAAAGGTCCTCAGAAATGTAGCTAGGTTTGTCACTAGGCGTTAGGAACAGTGGCAAAGTGGCACTGCCTCTCTCTCTGCGGCTAAAGCTATGGATAGCAAATGCTACAGCAAATGCTACGGGCGATGCCTGAGCGTGAACGCACATGAAGCAGCCTGCTCGACCCGAGCAGCTCTCTTTTTCTGTGATTTTACAGAAAAACAGGCAATCACAGTAAAAATGCCAGGGCTCATTCTACAGGACCAGGGCATTGCTGGAGAATGTATGAAGAAGAAATTTATTATTTCTACATGTTTTTGCTGTCAAACTTCCATAATGTCCCTTTAACATCTCTTCCATAGACCCACATTTTTATTTGTTGTGAATATATTTGTATTTTATTATAGTTGGACCTCATGGGCATAGAAAAATTATTAGTTTCTTTCTTTATTTAATTGATAAATTTATTTTTTCTGAACTGTATAGATGACATAATAATAGTATTATTACTATTATTACATTAATAACAATAATACTAATACCAATACTACTATAATTATCACTACCAATAATATTAATAATAACAAGAATGGTAATATGAACAATCATTTAGAATTTTAGCTCATTGTACTAGGCCTTCCTCCTCCTTGTACCTTGTGAAGATCTGCTTGTGCTGTCTTTTGAACAGTCATCCCTGGACATTGCTTTAGTTCTTCAGTTTGTTCCAGAGTTTCACTCCACACAGACAGACAATGATGAGGATCAGCACCTCCAAATCTGAGACCATGGTTCTCGACCGGAAAAGGGTGGCTTGCCACCTCCGGGTCGGGGGAGAGGTCCTACCTCAAGTGGAGGAGTTTAAGTATCTCGGGGTCTTGTTCACGAGTGAGGGTAGGAGGGATCGGGAGATCGACAGGCGGATTGGTTTGGCGTCTGCAGTGATGCGGACGCTGAGCCGATCTGTCGTGGGGAAGAGGGAGCTGAGCCAGAAAGCCAGGCTCTCGATTTACCGGTCGATCTACGTCCCAATTCTCACCTATGGTCATGAGCTTTGGGTAATGACCGAAAGAACGAGATCGCGGATACAAGCGGCCGAAATGAGTTTCCTCCGTAGGGTGGCCGGGCTCAGCCTTAGAGATAGGGTGAGGAGCTCGGACATTCGGGAGGGACTCGGAGTAGAACCGCTGCTCCTCCGGATCGAAAGGAGCCAGTTGAGGTGGTTTGGGCATCTGGTCAGGATGCCTCCTGGACGCCTCCCCGGGGAGGTGTTTCGGGCATGTCCTGCCGGCAGAAGGCCCCCGGGTCGACCCAGGACACGTTGGAGAGGTTACATCTCCAATCTGGTCCGGGAACGCCTTGGGGTCCTGCCGGAGGAGCTGGTGGACAAGGCCGGGGAGAGGACGGCCTGGAGCTCCCTAATTGGGATGCTGCCCCCGCGACCCGGACCCGGATAAGCGGAGGAAGACGAAGACGAAGACAGACAGACAAAAGGATTTTAAAGCAGTGCAGACTCTAGATTGAGTTTCAACTCCCCTCTTAACTGATACCTCCTTTCTTTTACAGAAATGTTTTAAGATGTTATCTAAAAGCAGATTGTGAGTTATAGGGCTGCAACAACGAATCGATAAATTCGATGAAAATCGATTACTAAAAGCGTTGGCAACGAATTGCGTCATCGATTCGTTGTGTTGCGCAACTCTTCCAAAAGCCCCCTCCCCTCCTGCCCGCCGTTGCGCGCAGACCGGTGGAGAGCCGGCAGGTGTTTGTAAGAGGAACATGGCAGAAGCAGCGAGACCCCAAAAAAGTAAAAACTTCTAAAGTTTGGGAGCATTTTCAGTTAAATCAGGCGAAGACATGCAACGTTTGTAGGTCAGACTTAGTATGGCACGGGGATACTACGGTGATGATGCAGCATCTTAAACGCAAGCATGTCAGAATCATCAGCGAGGAAGGAGAGAGCTCGGTGTCCGGGTAAGTAAAAAACTTTTCAAAAGTGATTCACCCAAGCCTCGGATTATTACACAGGCTAGACATGCCCTAAGCTCGTAAAAAAGTCTATAAAATTGTAAGCGCGACGCTATTAGATAGGCGGGGGGGGGACTCGCGCCGCTGCGAACCGGTTCCGCCGTCACATTCCCGCAGAAACTGGTTGATCACACCGGGGCCAGACTGCTAACATGTGGCTTTACAACCTCAGTGTCCTCACAAGCGAAAACGCTTTTAAAAGGGAGGGAGGAGTCCTAACTGTTGCTGCAGGCGTGTTGTGTGCGTGTAGTTATATACTGGTTAATATATTTTTGGGTTCAGTTGCTTTCATGTGTCCTAATGTGAGTCTATTTGGGATCATTGGAATGATCAGCAGCATCTCTTGATGTGACTTTAATGCAGTTGCCCAGGGCATCATCACAAGGAGGATGGCATTCATTTACTTTTGTTTTATTTGGTATTTTTCAGTCATTTTTGGAAATGGTGATTAATTCACAGCCTATGTTTAATTTCATTTAAAAATTAGTTGTTTGACATCCCCAATTATAATAAATGTCTACAGATGAGATCAAACAAAACAGATGAGAATTGCTGTTTAGCTTGGACCAAGCATTTTAGGTCACAGATAGGTGTAGCTTAAGGTCTCTGTCTATACACCTTATAAGACAATTTAGGTGATGGCATGTTGGTTTTCTGCTATTGAACTGTTTTCTAATAATGTTGTGTTTAAGTGAAGGAAGGAAGGAGAAAAATAACGTTTCCCTAGCAGTTTTAAAAAATGTCCCTATGTAATCCGATTAATCGATTAATCGTGTCGAGACCCCATCCGATTAATCGATTATCCAAATAATCGTTTGTTGCAGCCCTAGTGAGTTACCTTATACATTTGTTGGGCTGTTTGAAAATACACTAGATCATAACAATTTAAGATTTGTGATTTTAGGAATAATGGCTTTGTGTGCTCTTTATAGCCCACTTTATGAATTATTCTTAAAGGTCTTCTTT